CTTTGTGCGTGCAGCACACAAGTTTCTCAGCTTTAAACAGGAGCTTCTTTTGGAGGTGGACAATTAATGTCATCTTAGAAGGATTCATTTTACACCACTACAGATAGATAGTAATGAATTTTCATTATTTTCAGATCCCATTTAAAACCCATTTTTAGATGAGACCCCATAAATGTGGGTTGAAAACCTCAAATCCTAAGGCTAACTGGTCAATTAAATCTGCCATTGGCACTTATATATGATATCTAGAGCCTGACCAATATATTTCTCTTGGTGATTATAATCTGTTCTTGAAATATAGAGTATCACCGGGTATGTTGTCCAGTCAGCATGTGGGATTTTTGTTAGTTTACAGAAAACAATGCAGAAAAATCATAACTCTTTTCCCTCCTATCAGTAAGTTGCTAACTAGTTTGTGAAATAGATAATAAACAATAACTCTGCTCATTTTAACACCAGCACACTGTATTTATTTGTGGTTATACTGGATATCCATCCAACTATCCATTTATCATGGAGGTATCCCAGCTGTCACAGGGTGAAAGGCGGGGCATACCAGAGACAGGTCACCAGTCACAACCATGCCTATGGTCAATTTAAAATCACTAGTTAACATAACATGCATGTATCTGGACTGTGGGAAGAAGCTCCACTCCACGGGCCACCTTCGGACACATGACCTTCTTGCTGAGAGGCAACAGTGGGACCCCCTGCATCTCTGTACAACTGTGCATATACAGTATATATAATACAGTATATATAAATATGATATGAAAACTACTTTTTGTATTGAAATATACTTTTGTTTTATGTGTGCGGCAGGCTGCAATGTGCTACTACTGTAGAATAAACATTCAATATTTTCCACAAACTACCAGGTTCGTGCCACGTGGTGATATTTGATGGCTAATGTCAAACGTCTGTCATTAAATAGACTTTGTGTATGTCATAAATAAGTATAACCTTCCCAAAATAAATGCTGCCACATCCAAGACCATTTTGGGAGGCATGAAAATTAAACAGTGGTGTTGCCTGAAATAATTTAATGCAGCAATTTTGGCTATTTTTACTTTTGATACAGAATATTTAGCTCGTACGATGTCTTTACATTCATTTGTGCAGTTGCTAATGAAGTTGAGTAATTCTACTCATTTAACTGCTATTTATACAAATACAGCATATTAAAAGTTACTCTTAGTGTATAAGAAGCAGCAGTAGGGTGTAATTAAGAGGCCAGGTGATAAAGAGCAATTTATTTTCCCCACTTCGAGTGTGATTTAATCTGCTGCCACTGTGATTTAAAGCTGGCATCTCGTGTCTGTTCATCAGCTATTGCTTTCTCTCATTTTCTGAGATGTGCTTTTTATTGATCACTGACTCATGAGCCTTTTGTACACTTGTTGAAGGTCGAAGTGATGAATCAGTCCTCTCACGCATTTTCTCACTCTCAAAGTAGCAGTCGCGTCTGACATGCTGGATTTAAAGCCAGGGAGCAGTTGCAGAGAGACAATACAAGCGGTGACAAGACATGACGACGTGAAGACAGACACACATAAACCAGCGGAGCTGACTAACACTTTTATGAGAGAACAGGGAACATCTGCTGAGCCGTTTTCTCACTGTCCTTATTTTCCATCATAGCACATGTTCACTGGCAAGTGCATCTGTTCCTCTCTGTTCCTTCAGACATCATTTCTCTTACCTTGGGTGAGGTGATCTTGACGTAGACAATGATGGGGGCGAGGGAAGTCTTTCCCAGCTGTGACGGGTGGTTGATGGTATCGGCGTCCAGAACCACCAGCTGTAACGTCCGCGCCAATTCGAAAATTCGCTCGATCTCACTCTGGACTTCAGCTGAAGGGAGACACAGAGGTCTGGGTTTATTCTTTTCAGAGCAGGAAATTATTTCTTATCAGTCGTCAGGGGGATTTATCATGATAGTAGCTTGTGTAACAGTGGTTTGTTTTGCACTTTGTTTATCAGTGGCACACTTCCTCTTTTCTTTCTTTGCCACTTGATTGAAATCCCCCCTATTTTCACTCCTTACTCAAAATCTGCACTCTCTTTTTCACCTTCTCATTGGGCGACAGTCCTGCTACTCAAGTTTAACTTTTCTTTGTTAGCATAACCAATAACTATATTTACGTTTATGGAAGTTTACGACCAAGAGGCTTAAGTCTAATCTTGTCTTTGTTTATTTTCCACACTGAGCAGTCCACTGGTGTTGTTTCCCCATTCATACTCACAACTGCAATTAATTTAAAGTTGGATAAATAAACTTTCATGCACCGGATCATAACTTAATGGCTGATTTCTTTCATGCATTCTTACCAGATCCCCTTAATGATTAAGTTCACTTCCGAAAACCCCGATTAACACCAATATATCCTCTGTTGCTGACTTTCAAAGACGTCACAAATCTTGTAGTGTCATCTAAAAACACCTCACAAGTTGTTTTGATGTGCCTGTGCAAATATATTTCATGATTACAGATAAAACAAAAAGAACAAAAACAAAAATGATCTCGTCTTTTAACAGCTGAGTTCGTTATCGCAGATCAGCTCTCTGCTAGGATGACAGAAAATGAACATAATAGGCCCCTGTTAATATTTATGCTTAATTTATTGCAAAATATTCACAAGATTAAAGATACTCCTAACTCCATATTTTATTATGGACTGTCCTAGAGTAGCTGTGTATGATTTAAGGTTAAAAATACTCCTTATTTATCTTAAACCGAACAATGATGCATGCCTTAAGTTCATCTGCTGTCTGAAAGAAGTTGTTTTAGCTCCACCCCCTCTCTCTTTAAGCTGACTCTCCTGTAATTGGCTGCCTCTCGTAAACACAAGGATAAACAGCAGGTGAAGGCATCAGCTCTCTGTGATGTCATACAGATCCATGAGTGTAAAAAACATTGTGTTTAAAGTAATCTGAAGGTCTTTTGGCTCATAGGGATTACTTGCCTTACTTTTGCTGGCCTCATTACTGGAAACTAGGGGCATGTTTAATGTGACCATCCACCACTGTACAAATATATATTTGACAGATTTATACCTGACGATGGCGCTGGATTAAAAAGGATCCCAAGCGTGATTTCAATTTATTTTGAATATCTGTACAAACTTTTGCAACAATCCATCCATTAGTTGTTGAGACATCCCATTTTAATGTGGCTCTCTAGAGTCACACTGAAAGCGTGGCTAAAAAATGATTAGTAGTTATTATTAAAGATGAATTTTTATGACTGCTCAGAGTCCATCAGTCATATAGTACGCCTTTTAAAAATCTGAGCCTGCATCAGTGATTTAGGGCATAGCTCTTTCTGCCTCACAGAGACTTAAATATTCAAAAGACATCATGACTTCAGGGACACGGCTTGGAGACTAATAGCTCTGAGTGAGTGAGGAGCCACATTATGTTACCTCCAGAGAGAAAACATTAGTGTCCGTTGTGCGTGGGAAGAAAACTTCTTTTTACAGCGAAAACA